ACGATTTTTTACTTGTAAAAAAAAAGTTTCTTAATGTGCGATTGCTGTTTTCTTTTAAGCCTAAATAACCTTGATGCTTCTTTGCTTTCTGCTGCAGAGCTGGGGTCGGTTCACCTCGTCAAAATCAATAGTTTATTGACAATTTTAGAGTTTAACAGCCTTCTTAGTGCAGATATTGTGTGTGTAGTTGCTGTATTGAGGTGAATTAGACCCAGCTCTGCCCTGCACTGTCTCACTTTATGCTGTGTTTGTGATTCCCATGTAGATCTCTGGCAAGAGATTGTTTCAATCTCCGATCTTTTTGCAGTTGCGTGTAAAAAGTAGGGGCCAGAGAAGTTTGAAAGTGACCCTTGTACGAGGCTATAACCTGGAGTCACTCTGGCTCTGTCTCTTACAGAACAAAGTGGAGGAGCTAAACCAGCGACTGAGGCAAGCTATGGATGGTCAGTCTTTAACGCTCCTACTGAAAATGTCATTAATAAGTGACTTTTCCTTTCAGTCCCAGCAGATAAAACTAAGCGTAGTTGCAGTGAAAGTTTGGATTTGTAGCTCGTCTTGTTTTATTTGAAATTTCTTCATCATTCTGTCGTCGTTTTAATGCATCGATCTGTAAATGTCTTTTGCTACATTCCTGCTTGTCTGCGCTCTTCCTCTCATAGACAGCAGGAACCTGCCGTTCGGTCGGCCTGCTGTCCTCTTCCGTACCAAATACTGCATCCTGCACCACAGCGACTACATCAGTGGCTACAGTGAAACTCTGTCCATGCCCGTCTGGACATCGTACACTGCCAGCAGACAGGTACTGCTCTCTCCGTCCTCTCTGTCTTTCAGTTGTTGGAAGTACAAGTGCTTAGGTGTAGTTAACTGTTTAGCAGATATTTGATGTTTCAGAATTTTTTCTATAAGTTCATCTCCTGCTTCCAGCACCATTGCTACTATTGGGGAAACCTCTTCTGAGTGCCGTCATGTCACTGATTTCACAACAGGCTTTAGTTTAGGGGGGCTGTAGCTTAGGAGGTAGAGCTGCTCATCTACTGATCAGGATGTTGGTGGTTCAATCCTTTGCTGCTCCAGTCTTCATGCCAACACACTAACCCAGGAAGCTCTCTGATGCATCCGTCGGACTGTGAACGTTAGATGGAAAGCACTGCTTGTGTGAATGGATGCAAGTTGTATAGAGCAGAGTAGAGGCAGTGCATTTAACATTCAGACAGAGAAAACACCAACTCCTGTGTGAGATCTTAATCTCCGATTACCATGCTGATGATTTAGTGGTTACTGGTCTCCAGCTACGATCCAGACACCAAACAGCAATCTTTATGCCTGAAAGGCTGTCTTCAGAACAAAACAGCTTGGACTAAAAGCATTTTGTCAAAAACTGGATGACATTCATTCTTGGTGACTTTCACCAATGTTTCTCATGAGTCTGGTTGTGCACCTGGATCAAAGACATTTGGAAAATTTGCATCTTTTGCTGCTTCTGGTTTCACTGTGAGCCAACGTTGTTGTAATAATGTGATAAAAGGCTGAAATAATAACGGCTGTCGTTCTTATTTTGTCTGTTTCAAGGCTTCTTACTCGCCCTGAGTTTGTTTAAAGTTAGCTTCTTAGTTCGAAGACATCTTAAAAATCCATGAAAAGATTTTGTTTTATTTCCATTAATTTCCATTTTCACTCATCTAACTACAACTGTTGTTCACTTGACAACTCTTTGACAGACAGCCGGGTCTCACACAGCCACGTTTTGCAGGATACAGTCAATCCTTTGTTACACAGCGGTTGTCCTCACATTCAGCCCCGAGCTCCATCACTGCAGTTATATTAAGTATCTTTAAACAGCGAAGGATGCTATGAACCTCCTGCACAGCAGGAAACGTGCAGGTGCTGGACAGTGTCACCTGTCTCACCTGAATGCCTGCTGACTGTATCTTTTCTGTGCCATTTTTCTTTCTCTGGTCTTTGAAACAAATCCACGATATGTTTAACAGAACTTTGTATTCTGCTGGTCTTCCAGGTAGAAGTGTCTCCTCTGCCTGAAGCTCTGTCCAACTGTGTGAGACCTGATTCCAGAGTCCCTCCAGCTTACAGCCAATCATGTACCAACTACAGAGCAGATAAACACATCACGTACGCCTTTCTGTACCCACCACGTAAGTGAGCCCCCGCAGCAGAGTTAACACAGCATGTCTGGTGAAGGTTTTACTGGATTCGTATTCCTACAATAATACTACAATCATATTATTATTCTTTTTTCCCACACTTGATCGTATTCCATGACTTTATTTACCACATTAATCCTGTTTCTTTCCTTGCTGACAGAACTGTCGTCAAATCTAGACAAAAAATCCGATGCTGTCCTCATCACCAACACTGTTCCCATGTATCCTGCATTCAAGAGTAAGTCTTTACCCCAGCTTTAGTGAACTCTCTGTTTTATGCTTTTAATCCACCACCATCATCTCTCTCCCTCTCTCAGAGATATGGGGTTATTTCCAGAGAGTGCTGGTGAAGAAATACGCCACTGAGAGAAATGGAGTGAATGTTCTGACTGGACCCATATTTGACTACAACTATGACGGTGTCAGAGACTCAGCTGAGAAGATACGAGAGTAGGCACACTTAATATTTCCACGTTTCTGTTAAACCTCCTTACTCCATGTATATTTTTAACTGTGGACACTGCTAATGTTCGGAAAGTGTGTGGAACAGCTTCCTGACCTTGATCTTCTCTTGCAGGTATATAAGTGGTACAATCCCAATCCCCACTCACTACTTTGTGGTCCTGACCAGCTGCTTAGACTTCACACAAGCTACAGACGCGTGTAACGGACCGCTCAACAGCGCCACCTTCATCCTGCCGCACAGACCCACCAATGATGAGAGCTGCAACGTACGGATGGTCACGTTTACGTTTTCCTTCTGCTCTTTTCCTTTTCCTCATCCACAGCAGAGCAATCTTGCAAACATAACATGAAAAATGTTTCCCGCACCAAACAAATAAATTAAAGAAACCACACAGCTGAGCTGCAGCCACACCAGGTTGCTCCTCAAGCTGCTTTTGCGTAAAGAAACAGCACTGATAACAGCACTGACTCAGCTTCAGTCCGACAGGGGGATTGGAACGCTCTAATGCGTGGGTGTTCTTGCAAACACACTTCCTGCACTTATATTATTATTTTTTACAGACAGTCTTTCAGGAAACCCGTCCATCAGACCGCAAAGAGGCTGTACAGTTAGTCCTCCAGTATTGCACAGCAATAAGTGCTATTGCCAATAAGCTTTGCTGTGTCTCCAAGGGCAGTGTCAAGAGCATGGAGGATATTCCAGGAGACAGAAAGTTATTCTAGGAGAGCTGAACAGAGCTGTAGAGGGTCCTTAACACATCTCCATATTTGGAGGGCTAGAGGGTGGAGTATCAGCCAGCAAGTTTAGGAAGAAGTATTCAATCAATCAATCAATCAATCAATCAATCAATCAATCAATCAATCAATCAATCAAAGCTTTATTCGCCACGTGCAGGTTGCCCTGTAGTGAAATGGGACCCTCCCCCCAGGAGGCAACAAGCATCTAAGGCGTTTGGGAAGGGAGGGGGATGCATAGAATGGGAAGAACAGTCTAAACACAGTCGTTATCAGGGTGTTGTTGTTCAGCTCCAGCCTTAAGACCACAGCTGGTGCCACAGGGGTATCCCCATGAAGTGATGGTCGTTTTTCCTTTAGTGCGAACAACTCATATCAATTTCAAAGCAGTTCTACAGTCCGACACTGGTCTCTCAATCTCCCGTTGGAGAGCCGCGAGCTTCTCCAGATGTATCCAGTCTGCAGTCAGAGATCTTATTCTGAGTATTCACAGCAGCCGTAGCCTCTCCAAGATCTTATCCGTGCTGCACTCAATGAGCCCATTTTGAGAAACTCACGCCTCTCCCATCGTTCCAATCCCAGCGGGCAGCCTTGTGGGGGTTTGAACAGCCGGTTCCGCTTTCTTAATTCTTCGATAAGTCAGGGCCAAGCCAGCTCCGATCAGCCAGAACCCTGTTATCATGGTTTCTCGTTGAGAAAAGGGTGTCAATTGCATTCAGAGACCAGTTGATCAAATCCATAATTCCTCTTTTAGGTTTAGAAACAGACTGTGAGAGAATGTTCCAGGGAAAAGTAAAAACACAAGACAAGGACATAAGAAGCCAAGCAAGGAAGATAAGGGAGAGGAGAGGAGAAAAAGTGTGGCTGCCTTCGCCGAGAGTTCAAACTAGTAAAATACTATAATTTTACCTTTCAAAACTGGAGCACCTCCTGCCCTGTGGTAGCTGGGATAGGCAAGATGGCATTGTGTCATTTAATATTCCAAAATGAAGGTAAAAGGTTCAAAACGACACAAAAGTGCACACCGATACTGCTGAGCTGTGCAGCGATCTCGATGCAGTGACCACAAGCATGTGACTGTGAAGGATTGGTGGTTCGTTTGACGGCCCACCAACGTCACAGCTGATTAACTCCACATCTGTGAGGTTTAGAGCATTAGCTGGAAAACAATAAATCAAAGACATTGTCCAAAAACTGAATGAAAAGCTGCGCTAATCACACGTCTTAGAAAGGAGATAATAACAGTTACTGAGCTTTAACTGTTCTCCCGGGACCCCAAACTACGCTCACGTTCTTGTGAATAAGAAACTTTGTATGTGCAAAGTCTTAAGATCAACTGAAGACAGCCTTTCAAAACATGAACCAAAGAAACATTTTCGATCTGATGTCCATTAATAAGAGGTGACTGCTGCTAACGCTGCTCGTCCTTACTGCCTCCACAGAGCTCAGAGGAGGAGTCTCGTTGGGTGGAGAGCCTGATGAAGATGCACACAGCTCGGGTCAGAGACGTGGAGCTCCTGACAGGCCTGGACCTGTACCGCAGGACCAGCCGCAGCTACGCTGAAATCCTCTCGCTCAAGACCTACATGCACACCTACGAGAGCGAGATCTGAGTTCTGCTAATGTTCCTGACGTTATCTTCTGCCGTGGTGGATCCATGTGGTACCAGGAGGAGCTGCAGTCATCTCACCCCACCAGCTGCTCTGCAGCATCTATGCTGTGGCCCTTTCACTGACTCCTTCATGTGCTTTCATCTCAGTAACTGTTATTTTGCATACATTTTGAACACCACTCAGCTAAGAGGCCACTCGAGTTTAATATTTAGCTTTTCAAAAGGCAGAGATCGATATCCATTCGCTGCTGCACAATGACACTCATTTCATCCAACCATGACTGTACCCACCTATGTGTCAGAGGCTGTGACTGGAAATGAGTCACAGCATCACTAAATATGTCTCGAGATACTCGAGTAGAGTTACACCATAACAAACAGATCGGTGTAGAGACAGATTCTGACCAATCAGATAACAGCTTTTATTTTTCTTTGAATATAAGTAAGATGTTCTCCTATGTGTGTGTGGCTGTATGACATGCCAAGAGAAACACAAACTTTCTCACTTCCCTTCATCTTTAAGCAACCACTATTTTTGGATACACTCAATGAAATCAGTTTTCAAAAGTCTATAAAAGGCCATTGTGGATTTGGTTACATTGGTTACGTCCTCACGTTTGTGTATTGTCAGGTACATCTACATGTTGCACCAGTGCACAATCAGATCAGTTGTTTAAGTGTTTCACCAGCCTGGAGGCTGTTAGGAGGCTAAATAAAGAAATGATGTTTTTGCACGTGGAGGTGCCTGAAACAGCACGGTGTCAAGAATCCACGATCCTTTTTCATTCCATATTCTGGACATTGCAGCTTCAACATGGCTGACATTCATCAATAAGACCTGTTGTCACATCATTAAGAAACCTGCTGTAAGTCAGGTTCTCAGAGCACTGCGTTTCTCTTGACATCATGATGTTTTTCATGGTTATGAAGAAACAAAGGAGGTTTGTATTTTCACTGTTTCCTCTCTTCCTCGTTGATCTCCTTGGTCAGAGTGTGGGCAGTTTTCCTGTGAATGCACAAGCATTAAAGCAAGAAAGTTTATTTGCCGTGGAATTTCATCTTCTGTCCAATTCAGTCAACTTTCCAAGTCAAGTGAAAATTAATTCAAATGGAAAGCAAAGTGACCGTGAGGCTGTGGGATTACACTAGGCCCATCCATAAACGCTTTTACAAATCTGGGACTGCAGATGTAGAGAGCTAGAATCCACGTTACAGAGAAGCGACGTTTGAATGATGTCAAGGAAAAGCGCCTTGCACCACAGAGCCCCAGAGAAATCAGCAGTAAGGACTGTAAAACCAAAGCTGTCTTGTGTACGACGCATTCAAATCAAATCAAATCACTTTTATTGTCACATCACATGTGCAGGCACACTGGCACAGCACATGCGAGTGAAATTCTTGTGTGCGAGCCCCACAAGCAACAGAGATGTGCAAACACAACAACACAAACGAGCAAAATACAAGAATGGCCAACCTGAAACTAATAAATATATGTACAATATATAATAGTGTATGCATTTCTGGATGTGTATACTAAATATTTTCCTACGTGTGTGTGTGTCACAGGGAGTGACACTGGTGTTTGTGATTGTGAAGGTAAATTCCAGATTTTTCTTTGTATTTTTGACTGCCAAATATGTGGGTTTCATTGTGAATTGTCCAATAACAGTGTTGATGATGATTTATTGTTTTTGGAAAAAAAACACACACCACCTGTGAGACCGACTTATTTAAACTTTATGGAGATTTGTCAATAAACAAGTGTTTTTACTAAAAGAGCTGTGCTGTCTGCTGGGGTGCTGTCAACAAGAGGAAATCCCTGTTGTGTGTCTGCGACTCAGTGTTTTGTCTTTTTGGTTCAAGTTTTATTCAGTGAGGTATGGTTTCCTGTTTATGTTACGTTTATGGTTGCTGTTCTGTTTCTGTGCCTCTGTGTTCTTGGGAAGGGTCATTGTCTTTAGCTTACGTGTCTTGAGTTCAGCTCTGTGTTTCCTGGTTTACCTTGATAGTCCTGGTCCTTTGTCAGTATAGTCTGCTTTACTTCCTGCATCCTGTCACATTTATCCCAGCTGTGTCTCCCTCCTGTTGTGCATTTCCACTCCTTACCTGGTGTGTATTTATTGCTTGCGTTGTCCTTGGCTCTTTGTCGGTCTGTCTGCGTGTCGTCCCTCGTGTAACCGCTGCTCTCCGTCCCCTCGCGTTTCCAGGTGTTTCAGGTTTTGGCTCATTTTCTGTGTTCCACCTGTTGGTTGTTTTGTTCTGCCGTCAATAAAGGCTGACTTTCTGTTAGTGATGGCCAAACAACGCTTTCTGAAGCGTTGAAGCTCGTGTTGAAAAACGGTTCATTACTCAAACTTTTCAACAGTCCTCTCTGGTGACATCTGGTGGCCAAACATATGACGAGCAGCTTGAATCTACAAAATAAAATGAACTGCTTCATTATGATTGGCCACTCTACAGAGTGGAGTTCACAGTGTCTGATATTGGGCCGCCGTTGTGCTGCTTTGAGCATGTATTCTTTGGGGGGTGAAAAACTTGCCATGTTTATTTGTTTAATAAATAATTTTGATCAATAAACATTCCTTGTTTAAACATGTGCCATGGTGTGGTCTTTCTTTGCTCGTGACTCCTCGGCGTTTGTAAATGCAATAGATTAAAAATACATATAATAATGTACAAAACATTATGCGGTATGCTGTGACGTCCTGACTCCGTGTACTTATGCAATCAATCGCTGGACAGTTATGTTTATAAGTCACATTAAATTATGCCAGTTTTCTTATACGCATTTTTGACCCGGGGGTAGAACTGATCATGAACTTGTAAAGTAAAAGTGATGCATTTAAAGTCAACCTGTTTGGTTTTTATTTAAGAAGAGAATTTGTTCCACTGTGCGACGGTCGAGTCTGTTTCTTTTCGTGGAGATAATTTCTCCTGCCTTAGAGGAAATCCTCTCACATGGAGCAGAAGACGCTGGCGTGCACAGACCATCAGCTGGGTGAGGCCTCCTGAAAACCCACCTCTTTACCCTGGCCTTTGACACCACGAGAGATGTTGGTTTTTAGTTTGATTTTGGTTGTTTTTAGTTGATTCTATGCAGTTTTATCTCGTTTTACAGTTTTTGCCCGTTGCTTGAACACATTTTGCAAAACTTTGCTCATTGTGCCAAAACCCTAAACACAAGTAAACATGACACAACACTGGGAAATATACCATTCACATCTGCACCAAATTGAAACTCTACTCTCAAAACCTAAACTCTGCTGTCAAAACCTAACATTCCTTTGTCAAAATGTAACTCTGTTGACAAAATGACACATACTTGCATCATATGCAAACACTTACAGATCAGGGGGAACACACTAGTCTACTTTATATAAAGCACTGCAGTCTTTGATTTCCATTGTTCATTCAGAAGGCATATTTTCAGGAGACACATTTGCAAACAACCAAAAAAGCAAATAGGCCTACTCAATATTGTACATTGCAGTACCATGAATTCAGATAAAGCAAAAAAAAAAAAAAACAAAAAACCCATAATACAGTAATAGAAAAAACACTATACTGTAAACAAAAAATCATGACAATTGTGCATACGTGGGCTCATGGATCCCGCCGTCTGTTGGGGTCTGGCCACAGGACCTCATCGACATCGCAAGCAATGTCTTCTCCCGCTAGGCACCGGGGAAAATATCCTCTTGCATGTCAAAACCATCCATGGATTGCTGTCACCTGAATGTCGCCGCAGGCCTGTTCCATTGCCTGCAGAAGAGGCATGCGGGCATGTGGTTGGCGGTCATATACACGCCATCTCCAAGCCGAAAAAAATTCCTCTATAGGGTTTAAAAATGGTGAGTAAGGGGGCAAGCATACCACTTCAAGTTGACTGTGGTTGGAGAACCAGGCCTGGACCAGAGCAGCCCGATGGAAACTGACATGATCCCATATCACCACAAACCTGGGCTGATCTGCTCTGTTCTGTACAACTATATCATGGAGAGCATCTAGAAATGTGAGTATGTGTTGCCTATTGTATGGACCTAGTTTTGCATGATGATGCAGAAGCCCTCGAAGGCTTATGGCGGCACATAATGTGATGTTTCCCCCGCGCTGCCCTGGAACGTGCACAATTGTCCTTTGGCCAATTACATTACGACCCCGTCCTCTTGTTTTGCACAGTGTTGTTGAACACTCGCCTGTCTGCAAGTATTTGCTTTCGTAGCTGGTGGAGACGGATGGCATTGTCTGCCCTCACTAGGTCCACAACGGCAAGTTCCTGCCGTTGTGTGAACAGGCGTTGGCGTCCTCCCCCAGAAGGTCTTCGAGTCATAAAACATACCATGATTACTTATATTGAAGTACAGTGTTGTACAGTGGATGACACAGTACATACAGTAAAGTACTGTAAGAAAAATAAGCAAACCGATGACAATATGTGGTTGTATTTTTCTAGAATGACTCGAAGACCTTCTGGGGGAGGACGCCAACGCCTGTTCACACAACAGCAGGAACTTGCAGACAGGCAAGTGTTCAGCAACATAGACCATGTGAGCATCACCACCATCAGACGCATCTTGGGAAAACACAGCATCACCATGAAGCAGCTCTACAGAGTCCCATTCGAGGGGAACAGTGACAGGGTCAAAGGACTTCGAGCTGAATATGTACGGGTAAGTGTAACTGTCCTTTACATGTACAATAGAGTATTGGTGAAGTCCAGTAGCAGCTGAATATGTACCATATCAGTACCACATGGATCCATTCTGAGAGCTACACAGGTACCTGTGTGATGGGGTGAGGGTGCTGTATGTGTAGCACTGTAGTACAGTGATATGTTCCCCTTTTTTTCAGAGAATCTTGGCCATGGATGGAGCTGCACAGCCTCATGAATTCATTTTCATTGATGAAGCTGGATTCGACCTGAGCAAAACAAGACGACGGGGTCGTAATGTAATTGGCCAAAGGGCAATTGTGCACGTCCCAGGGCAGCGCGGGGGAAACATCACATTATGTGCCGCCATATGCCTTCGAGGGCTTCTGCACCATCATGCAATACTAGGTCCATACAATAGGCAACACATACTCACATTTCTAGATGCTCTCCATGATATAGTTGTACAGAACAGACCAGATCAGCCCAGGTTTGTGGTGATATGGGATAATGTCAGTTTCCATCGGGCTGCTCTGGTCCAGGCCTGGTTCTCCAACCACAGTCAACTTGAAGTGGTATGCTTGCCCCCTTACTCACCATTTTTAAACCCTATAGAGGAATTTTTTTCGGCTTGGAGATGGCGTGTATATGACCGCCAACTACATGCCTGCATGCCTCTTCTGCAGGCAATGGAACAGGCCTGCGGCGACATTCAGGTGACAGCAATCCATGGATGGTTTTGACATGGAAGAGGATATTTTCCCCGGTGCCTAGCGGGAGGAGACATTGCTTGCGATGTTGATGAGGTCCTGTGGCCAGACCCCAACAGACGGCGGGATCCATGAGCCCACGTATGCACAATTGTCATGATTTTTTGTTTACAGTATAGTGTTTTTTCTATTACTGTATTATGGGTTTTTGTTTTTTTTTTTTTTTTGCTTTATCTGAATTCATGGTACTGCAATGTACAATATTGAGTAGGCCTATTTGCTTTTTTGGTTGTTTGCAAATGTGTCTCCTGAAAATATGCCTTCTGAATGAACAATGGAAATCAAAGACTGCAGTGCTTTATATAAAGTAGACTAGTGTGTTCCCCCTGCTCTGTAAGTGTTTGCATATGATGCAAGTATGTGTCATTTTGTCAACAGAGTTACATTTTGACAAAGGAATGTTAGGTTTTGATAGCAGAGTTTAGGTTTTGAGAGTAGAGTTTCAATTTGGCACAGATGTGAATGGTATATTTCCCAGTGTTGTGTCATGTGTACTTGTGTGTACAGTTTTGGCACAATGAGCAAAGTTTTGCAAAATGTGTTCAGGCAACGGGCAAAAACTGTAAAACGAGATAAAACTGCATAGAATCAACTAAAAACAACCAAAATCAAACTAAAAACCAACATCTCTCGTGGTGTCAAAGGCCAGGGTAAAGAGGTGGGTTTTCAGGAGGCCTCACCCAGCTGATGGTCTGTGCACGCCAGCGTCTTCTGCTCCATGTGAGAGGATTTCCTCTAAGGCAGGAGAAATTATCTCCACGAAAAGAAACAGACTCGACCGTCGCACAGTGGAACAAATTCTCTTCTTAAATAAAAACCAAACAGGTTGACTTTAAATGCATCACTTTTACTTTACAAGTTCATGATCAGTTCTACCCCCGGGTCAAAAATGCGTATAAGAAAACTGGCCTAATTTAATGTGACTTATAAACATAACTGTCCAGCGATTGATTGCATAAGTACACGGAGTCAGGACGTCACAGCATACCGCATAATGTTTTGTACATTATTATATGTATTTTTAATCTATTGCATTTACAAACGCCGAGGAGTCACGAGCAAAGAAAGACCACACCATGGCACATGTTTAAACAAGGAATGTTTATTGATCAAAATTATTTATTAAACAAATAAACATGGCAAGTTTTTCACCCCCCAAAGAATACATGCTCAAAGCAGCACAACGGCGGCCCAATATCAGACAGAACTGTGAACTCCACTCTGTAGAGTGGCCAATCATAATGAAGCAGTTCATTTTATTTTGTAGATTCAAGCTGCTCGTCATATGTTTGGCCACCAGATGTCACCAGAGAGGACTGTTGAAAAGCTTTGAGTAATGAACCGTTTTTCAACACGAGCTTCAACGCTTCAGAAAGCGTTGTTTGGCCATCACTAACAGAAAGTCAGCCTTTATTGACGGCAGAACAAAACAACCAACAGGTGGAACACAGAAAATGAGCCAAAACCTGAAACACCTGGAAACGCGAGGGGACGGAGAGCAGCGGTTACACGAGGGATGACACGCAGACAGACCGACAAAGAGCCAAGGACAACGCAAGCAATAAATACACACCAGGTAAGGAGTGGAAATGCACAACAGGAGGGAGACACAGCTGGGATAAATGTGACAGGACGCAGGAAGTAAAGCAGACTATACTGACAAAGGACCAGGACTATCAAGGTAAACCAGGAAACACAGAGCTGAACTCAAGACACGTAAGCTAAAGACAATGACCCTTCCCAAGAACACAGAGGCACAGAAACAGAACAGCAACCATAAACGTAACATAAACAGGAAACCATACCTCACTGAATAAAACTTGAACCAAAAAGACAAAACACTGAGTCGCAGACACACAACAGGGATTTCCTCTTGTTGACAGCACCCCAGCAGACAGCACAGCTCTTTTAGTAAAAACACTTGTTTATTGACAAATCTCCATAAAGTTTAAATAAGTCGGTCTCACAGGTGGTGTGTGTTTTTTTTCCAAAAACAATAAATCATCATCAACACTGTTATTGGACAATTCACAATGAAACCCACATATTTGGCAGTCAAAAATACAAAGAAAAATCTGGAATTTACCTTCACAATCACAAACACCAGTGTCACTCCCTGTGACACACCAAGTAGAATTTTTAGCATACATCAGTCGAGGAAAGTCACTTGATATATTGTACATATATTTATTAGTTTCAGGTTGGCCATTCTTGTATTTTGCTCGTTTGTGTTGTTGTGTTTGCACATCTCTGTTGCTTGTGGGGCTCGCACACAAGAATTTCACTCGCATGTGCTGTGCCAGTGTGCCTGCACATGTGATGTGACAATAAAAGTGATTTGATTTGATTTGAATGCGTCGTACACAAGACAGCTTTGGTTTTACAGTCCTTACTGCTGATTTCTCTGGGGCTCTGTGGTGCAAGGCGCTTTTCCTTGACATCATTCAAACGTCGCTTCTCTGTAACGTGGATTCTAGCTCTCTACATCTGCAGTCCCAGATTTGTAAAAGCGTTTATGGATGGGCCTAGTGTAATCCCACAGCCTCACGGTCACTTTGCTTTCCATTTGAATTAATTTTCACTTGACTTGGAAAGTTGACTGAATTGGACAGAAGATGAAATTCCACGGCAAATAAACTTTCTTGCTTTAATGCTTGTGCATTCACAGGAAAACTGCCCACACTCTGACCAAGGAGATCAACGAGGAAGAGAGGAAACAGTGAAAATACAAACCTCCTTTGTTTCTTCATAACCATGAAAAACATCATGATGTCAAGAGAAACGCAGTGCTCTGAGAAGCTGACTTACAGCAGGTTTCTTAATGATGTGACAACAGGTCTTATTGATGAATGTCAGCCATGTTGAAGCTGCAATGTCCAGAATATGGAATGAAAAAGGATCGTGGATTCTTGACACCGTGCTGTTTCAGGCACCTCCACGTGCAAAAACATCATTTCTTTATTTAGCCTCCTAACAGCCTCCAGGCTGGTGAAACACTTAAACAACTGATCTGATTGTGCACTGGTGCAACATGTAGATCATTGTGTACCTGACAATACACAAACGTGAGGACGTAACCAATGTAACCAAATCCACAATGGCCTTTTATAGACTTTTGAAAACTGATTTCATTGAGTGTATCCAAAAATAGTGGTTGCTTAAAGATGAAGGGAAGTGAGAAAGTTTGTGTTTCTCTTGGCATGTCATACAGCCACACACACATAGGAGAACATCTTACTTATATTCAAAGAAAAATAAAAGCTGTTATCTGATTGGTCAGAATCTGTCTCTACACCGATCTGTTTGTTATGGTGTAACTCTACTCGAGTATCTCGAGACATATTTAGTGATGCTGTGACTCATTTCCAGTCACAGCCTCTGACACATAGGTGGGTACAGTCATGGTTGGATGAAATGAGTGTCATTGTGCAGCAGCATTTCTGCGAATGGATATCGATCTCTGCCTTTTGAAAAGCTAAATATTAAACTCGAGTGGCCTCTTAGCTGAGTGGTGTTCAAAATGTATGCAAAATAACAGTTACTGAGATGAAAGCACATGAAGGAGTCAGTGAAAGGGCCACAGCATAGATGCTGCAGAGCAGCTGGTGGGGTGAGATGACTGCAGCTCCTCCTGGTACCACATGGATCCACCACGGCAGAAGATAACGTCAGGAACATTAGCAGAACTCAGATCTCGCTCTCGTAGGTGTGCATGTAGGTCTTGAGCGAGAGGATTTCAGCGTAGCTGCGGCTGGTCCTGCGGTACAGGTCCAGGCCTGTCAGGAGCTCCACGTCTCTGACCCGAGCTGTGTGCATCTTCATCAGGCTCTCCACCCAACGAGACTCCTCCTCTGAGCTCTGTGGAGGCAGTAAGGACGAGCAGCGTTAGCAGCAGTCACCTCTTATTAATGGACATCAGATCGAAAATGTTTCTTTGGTTCATGTTTTGAAAGGCTGTCTTCAGTTGATCTTAAGACTTTGCACATACAAAGTTTCTTATTCACAAGAACGTGAGCGTAGTTTGGGGTCCCGGGAGAACAGTTAAAGCTCAGTAACTGTTATTATCTCCTTTCTAAGACGTGTGATTAGTGCAGCTTTTCATTCAGTTTTTGGACAATGTCTTTGATTTATTGTTTTCCAGCTAATGCTCTAAACCTCACAGATGTGGAGTTAATCAGCTGTGACGTTGGTGGGCCGTCAAACGAACCACCAATCCTTCACAGCCACATGCTTGTGGTCACTGCATCGAGATCGCTGCACAGCTCAGCAGTATCGGTGTGCACTTTTGTGTCGTTTTGAACCTTTTACCTTCATTTTGGAATATTAAATGACACAATGCCATCTTGCCTATCCCAGCTACCACAGGGCAGGAGGTGCTCCAGTTTTGAAAGGTAAAATTATAGTATTTTACTAGTTTGAACTCTCGGCGAAGGCAGCCACACTTTTTCTCCTCTCCTCTCCCTTATCTTCCTTGCTTGGCTTCTTATGTCCTTGTCTTGTGTTTTTACTTTTCCCTGGAACATTCTCTCACAGTCTGTTTCTAAACCTAAAAGAGGAATTATGGATTTGATCAACTGGTCTCTGAATGCAATTGACACCCTTTTCTCAACGAGAAACCATGATAACAGGGTTTTTGCTGATCGGAGCTGGCTTGGCCCTGACTTATCGAAGAATGAAGAAAGCGGAACCGGCTGTTCAAACCCCCACAAGGCTGCCCGCTGGGATTGGAACGATGGGACGAGGCGTGAGTTTCTCAAAATGGGCTCATTGAGTGCAGCACGGATAAGATCTTGGAGAGGCTGACGGCTGCTGTGAATACTCAGAATAAGAACTCTGAGCGCAAATTGATCACATCATGGAGAAGCTCGCGGCTCTCCAACGGGAGATTGAGAGACCAGTGTCGGACTGTAGAACTGCTTTGAAATTGATATGAGTTGTTCGCACTAAAGGAAAAACGACCATCACTTCATGGGGATACCCCTGTGGCACCAGCTGTGGTCTTAAGGCTGGAGCTGAACAACAACACCCTGATAACGACTGTGTTTAGACTGTTCTTCCCATTCTATGCATCCCCCTCCCTTCCCAAACGCCTTAGATGCTTGTTGCCTCCTGGGGGGAGGGTCCCATTTCACTACAGGGCAACCTGCACGTGGCGAATAAAGCTTTGATTGATTGATTGATTGATTGATTGATTGATTGATTGATTGATTGATTGAATACTTCTTCCTAAACTTGCTGGCTGATACTCCACCCTCTAGCCCTCCAAATATGGAGATGTGTTAAGGACCCTCTACAGCTCTGTTCAGCTCTCCTAGAATAACTTTCTGTCTCCTGGAATATCCTCCATGCTCTTGACACTGTCCTTGGAGACACAGCAAAGCTTATTGGTAATAGCACTTATTGCTGTGCAATACTGGAGGACTAACTGTACAGCCTCTTTGCGGTCTGATGGACGGGTTTCCTGAAAGACTGTCTGTAAAAAATAATAATATAAGTGCAGGAAGTGTGTTTGCAAGAACACCCACGCATTAGAGCGTTCCAATCCCCCTGTCGGACTGAAGCTGAGTCAGTGCTGTTATCAGTGCTGTTTCTTTACGCAAAAGCAGCTTGAGGAGCAACCTGGTGTGGCTGCAGCTCAGCTGTGTGGTTTCTTTAATTTATTTGTTTGGTGCGGGAAACATTTTTCATGTTATGTTTGCAAGATTGCTCTGCTGTGGATGAGGAAAAGGAAAAGAGCAGAAGGAAAACGTAAACGTGACCATCCGTACGTTGCAGCTCTCATCATTGGTGGGTCTGTGCGGCAGGATGAAGGTGGCGCTGTTGAGCGGTCCGTTACACGCGTCTGTAGTTTGTGTGAAGTCTAAGCAGCTGGTCAGGACCACAAAGTAGTGAGTGGGGATTGGGATTGTACCACTTATATACCTGCAAGAGAAGATCAAGGTCAGGAAGCTGTTCCACACACTTTCCGAACATTAGCAGTGTCCACAGTTAAAAATATACATGGAGTAAGGAGGTTTAACAGAAACGTGGAAATATTAAGTGTGCCTACTCTCGTATCTTCTCAGCTGAGTCTCTGACACCGTCATAGTTGTAGTCAAATATGGGTCCAGTCAGTACATTCACTCCATTTCTCTCAGTGGCGTATTTCTTCACCAGCACTCTCTGGAAATAACCCCATATCTCTGAGAGAGGGAGAGAGATGATGGTGGTGGATTAAAAGCATAAAACAGAGAGTTCACTAAAGCTGGGGTAAAGACTTACTCTTGAATGCAGGATACATGGGAACAGTGTTGGTGATGAGGACAGCATCGGATTTTTTGTCTAGATTTGACGACAGTTCTGTCAGCAAGGAAAGAAACAGGATTAATGTGGTAAATAAAGTCATGGAATACGATCAAGTGTGGGAAAAAAGAATAATAATATGATTGTAGTATTATTGTAGGAATACGAATCCAGTAAAACCTTCACCAGACATGCTGTGTTAACTCTGCTGCGGGGGCTCACTTACGTGGTGGGTACAGAAAGGCGTACGTGATGTGTTTATCTGCTCTGTAGTTGGTACATGATTGGCTGTAAGCTGGAGGGACTCTGGAATCAGGTCTCACACAGTTGGACAGAGCTTCAGGCAGAGGAGACACTTCTACCTGGAAGACCAGCAGAATACAAAGTTCTGTTAAACATATCGTGGATTTGTTTCAAAGACCAGAGAAAGAAAAATGGCACAGAAAAGATACAGTCAGCAGGCATTCAGGTGAGACAGGTGACACTGTCCAGCACCTGCACGTTTCCTGCTGTGCAGGAGGTTCATAGCATCCTTCGCTGTTTAAAGATACTTAATATAACTGCAGTGATGGAGCTCGGGGCTGAATGTGAGGACAACCGCTGTGTAACAAAGGATTGACTGTATCCTGCAAAACGTGGCTGTGTGAGACCCGGCTGTCTGTCAAAGAGTTGTCAAGTGAACAACAGTTGTAGTTAGATGAGTGAAAATGGAAATTAATGGAAATAAAACAAAATCTTTTCATGGATTTTTAAGATGTCTTCGAACTAAGAAGCTAACTTTAAACAAACTCAGGGCGAGTAAGAAGCCTTGAAACTGACAAAATAAGAACGACAGCCGTTATTATTTCAGCCTTTTATCACATTATTACAACAACGTTGGCTCACAGTGAAACCAGAAGCAGCAAAAGATGCAAATTTTCCAAATGTCTTTGATCCAGGTGCACAACCAGACTCATGAGAAACATTGGTGAAAGTCACCAAGAATGAATGTCATCCAGTTTTTGACAAAATGCTTTTAGTCCAAGCTGTTTTGTTCTGAAGACAGCCTTTCAGGCATAAAGATTGCTGTTTGGTGTCTGGATCGTAGCTGGAGACCAGTAACCACTAAATCATGAGCATGGTAATCGGAGATTAAGATCTCACACAGGAGTTGGTGTTTTCTCTGTCTGAATGTTAAATGCACTGCCTCTACTCTGCTCTATACAACTTGCATCCATTCACACAAGCAGTGCTTTCCATCTAACGTTCACAGTCCGACGGATGCATCAGAGAGCTTCCTGGGTTAGGGTGTTGGCATGAAGACTGGAGCAGCAAAGGATTGAACCACCAACATCCTGATCAGTAGATGAGCAGCTCTACCTCCTAAGCTACAGCCCCCCTAAACTAAAGCCTGTTGTGAAATCAGTGACATGACGGCACTCAGAAGAGGTTTCCCCAATAGTAGCAATGGTGCTGGAAGCAGGAGATGAACTTATAGAAAAAATTCTGAAACATCAAATATCTGCTAAACAGTTAACTACACCTAAGCACTTGTACTTCCAACAACTGAAAGACAGAGAGGACGGAGAGAGCAGTACCTGTCTGCTGGCAGTGTACGATGTCCAGACGGGCATGGACAGAGTTTCACTGTAGCCACTGATGTAGTCGCTGTGGTGCAGGATGCAGTATTTGGTACGGAAGAGGACAGCAGGCCGACCGAACGGCAGGTTCCTGCTGTCTATGAGAGGAAGAGCGCAGACAAGCAGGAATGTAGCAAAAGACATTTACAGATCGATGCATTAAAACGACGACAGAATGATGAAGAAATTTCAAATAAAACTAGACGAGCTACAAATCCAAACTTTCACTGCAACTACGCTTAGTTTTATCTGCTGGGACTGAAAGGAAAAGTCACTTATTAATGACATTTTCAGTAGGAGCGTTAAAGACTGACCATCCATAGCTTGCCTCAGTCGCTGGTTTAGCTCCTCCACTTTGTTCTGTAAGAGACAGAGCCAGAGTGACTCCAGGTTATAGCCTCGTACAAGGGTCACTTTCAAACTTCTCTGGCCCCTACTTTTTACACGCAACTGCAAAAAGATCGGAGATTGAAACAATCTCTTGCCAGAGATCTACATGGGAATCACAAACACAGCATAAAGTGAGACAGTGCAGGGCAGAGCTGGGTCTAATTCACCTCAATACAGCAACTACACACACAATATCTGCACTAAGAAGGCTGTTAAACTCTAAAATTGTCAATAAACTATTGATTTTGACGAGGTGAACCGACCCCAGCTCTGCAGCAGAAAGCAAAGAAGCATCAAGGTTATTTAGGCTTAAAAGAAAACAGCAATCGCACATTAAGAAACTTTTTTTTTACAAGTAAAAAAGGCACAAACAATCAAATCCTCCTGAATGACAGACCCATGCAGATGAATCTTTTTACACTGTGTAAAATGAAGTTAAACTGCAAAAAAGCAAAACTTCTGCAACAAAAAGCCCTTCAGTCATCTGCTATGGTATAGTTCAGCTGATAGCACATCTGACCAATCACACACACTGCTCTGCACAACAAGACGAGCAGCTAACCCCAGTTATGGTTAATAAATCCTGCTGGGTACAGGCAGGGAAACATGGATCTGGGGTCTTACTTTTCATACCAGGTTTATGCTACAGCTGATTTCTTACTCTCCGTTTGCACGATGACTGAGGAGTTTTAATCTGAGGACGTCATCAACACTAAGTGCCCCAGCCCACACCACTGATCGTATAATGTCCAAATGTGTGATTTTGTTGCAATCTGGATCAAAAACAAACCAACACAAAAATTAATTTCTTATTTTATTGTCAAAAAACAAGCTTGGGTCAGGGTAGAGTAGCCAGGGAACTTTAAGGGTGTTACAAATAAGGTCCGAGGGCCAGAAACCAATTCAATTCAATTCAATTCAATTTTATTTATATAGCGCCAAATCACAACAAAAGTCGCCTCAAGGCGCTTCATAGATACAGAGAAAAACCCAACAATCATATGACCCCCTATGAGCAAGCACTTTGGCGACAGTGGGAAGGAAAAACTCCCTTTTAACAGGAAGAAACCTCCGGCAGAACCAGGCTCAGGGAGGGGCGGCCATCTGCTGCGACCAGTTGGGGTGAGAGAAGGAAGACAGGATAAAGACATGCTGTGGAAGAGAGACAGAGGTTAATAACAGATATGATTCAATGCAGAGAGGTCTGTTAATACATAGTGAGTGAGAAAGGTGACTGGAAAGGAAAAACTCAATGCATCATGGGAATCCCCCCAAACACGCCTCCTTCTGGTCCTCATCTACACATGTTCCCCCAGCTCCACAACCTGTTCGCTCTCGTTTATGTGCCCCACCCTCCCTCCCCTTTTTAATTCTTTAACTTCTTCATTTCTGTTTTAGTCCATGAGGATCTGCCAGGCCCGGGAGCTGCCACCAGTCCCCTTCCAGGTCTTCCCCAAACCACAGCTCATGTCCAAGCCATTCAGCTTTATCTACTAAAACGGTGTCAAACCTCAAATAAGGACGTGGGGCCAGTGAGTGAAATATGTTGGTCAACTTCTGTGCACTAACAGAAAATTTCACCGCACCAGTACAGATAAACTGGGCTCTACGTCACCTTCAATGTTAAAGGGTTGTAGTTCTTGTCCTCGTAGTTCTAATATGTTTCGTATAAAGAGCATCTGTGCTGACACCTCCGATGGGCCAAAAAAGTGTTACTGACTTGAATACATACTTGATAAAAACTTTCTTGCATTCCTTAAAGAACTCATAAAACAATCAGACACAAAGACACGCTGATGTCTCAGCTGAGCGCTTCAGCCTACAGTTACCATGTTCTTGCAGCCTCTCTGCATCCCTGCACCTCCTTTCACGCTTTATTCAATTTCATGAGCTTCGTATCTCTGGGCACCGATGCCTGCTTTCTTCTGTGAGCAGCTCTTGTTGCTGCTCTTCCTTCCTCTAGATTTCATGTTTGTACATGGAGGGAGAGGTGCCAGAACAAAGCCGTATTACTAAATATGCCTGAACTCTGGTGTCCTGATATTTCCTGGTTGACCTTGGGCAGTCAAAAGCTACTCCTTGCCTCCTGCGGCTCGTGGCCTCAGTGGGTCCGGTTTGTTCCGGCCCAGGTGGACCTCTTAGGGTCTTTGTTATGTTGCTGTGGATATATTGCAGTGTGGACAGTGTCTGTGTGAACACAGAATTTATATTTGTCATCCCACTCTAAATGCTGGCTGCATTTAGTTTCAAGTGATGATCCTGTTATTAGCACGGGAAATAAAGTCTAGTGTTTCAGGGTACCTGTCAGGAGGATGGTTCAGAACCCTAAAGAACTTGTTCTTCTCTGGATTCAGTCTGGTGTCTCGTGACATCGCAGGCTCACTTCCATGATGTCAGGGCCCTTTCAGGCTCTCTGTAATCTCTCACAGCACCTTGTTCTAGCTACAAATGTTCATTTATGAGTTGCGCTGGATGTTTGCTGTTCTTTTCTCTGTGTGTGTGTTTATACAGCACACGTTTAATGCTGATCTCTCTTTCATGGTGTATCTTCTGTGCTGTCTCCCTCCTCTCACCCCCAACCGGTCGCAGCAGATGGCCCCGCCCCTCCCTGAGCCTGGTTGTGCTGGAGGTTTCTTCCTGTTAAAAGGGAGTTTTTCCTTCCTACTGTCGCCAAAGAGCTTGCTCATAGGGAGTCTTCTGGTTGTGTGGGGCTTCTCTGTATTATAGTAGGGTTTTTAGCCTAAAATATAAAGCACCTTGGGGACTGCTGCTGTCATATGGCACCTTATAAAAAAAATTTTAATTAAGTAAATAAGCTGACCAGATGGATCCTTTTGTGGGATTTAAAAGTCAAGCGAATGTTTGGCATCTGGCCAGTCATACATGCAGGTTAGTCATACTTTGTAAGGGGCTAATTTGGCCTATGGAAACAATTTTAGAGTCAACTCTTTTAGGCCAAAAGTGAAGAAGAGGGAGTTTTAAAAAGAGGCGCTGAGGTCACTTCAAAAACTGCTGATCTCATGGGATTTTCCTGGACAACCATCTTTAGAGTTTGGCCCAAAAAAGGAGAAAATATCCAGTTAGTATGAGTTCTGTCAGTGAACATGGTGTGCTGATGACAGAGGAGAAAGCCCAGACTGTGGGGTGCTACTCCTGTGAGTCTCAGAAACTGAGACTGCAATTCATACAAGCACCAAATTGAGCAGCAGAAGATGGGAGGAATTTTGCCAAGTGTGACAATATGGATGTACAGCCAAGAATGTTGCTGCATCTGCTGAACATATGATTGAGTTGAGAAATTTTAAAAAAAGACAAAAAAATAGACTAGAAGAGGTTTAGAAAAATAGAAGAACAGAATTCCCTTCAGGGACTGACAGGAAGTTGGGCTCAGGTCTGCCTCTGAGTCATCGTGGCTGACCTTTTCATCGCAGCTGCACCCCAAGCTGTCTGTTCCTGCAGGTACAACACCAGACACTGTTGGTCTGGAGACCTCCTCTGCCATGGTGGGTCTGTACGGGGGGGTTCTTAGCAGGTGGTTCAGACTGCCGTGAGTTCCATTATTAGGGGCCGGTTTCAAACCTAGAAGATCTAAGAATGGGACAAATGTGACTGAAATCAGACGAAAGATGTCACACACACGTAAACATCAGCTAACGCATTCTTATTGTGGAAAAATATCAGATATCAAAACACACCCAGACACCTGAACACAGAAATGCAGATGGAAAAAAAGGGACTCCTCACCACACATTACGTTATAAAGCTCGATGTTTTCAAAGGCTGGAACTTTAGTCTTGAACTTAAACGTGGGCCCATAGCCAACGAAAATAGTCTGGAAGCAAAAGTTCATCACACGGGTTAGTTTGTTACAACAAATGCAAGAAAATGTTTGATATATCTGAAGTTTTTAACGAGAGTTTAAAAAAAGGCTATTCTACATTTGCATACATTTCATTACATAAATAAAGACAGTTGCCTTATATTGTGGGAAGAATCTCTGGGCTTTTTCCTCAGAAATCTCAAGAATATTTAATTGTTTTTTTATAAATTAGTTCCCTGTCTTCTACTTATTATTATTCCTTCTTACATTTCATGTATTTAAGAAGACGATTAATGTGCAGGGATAGCTCAGTAGGTAGAGTGGTGGCCCCATGATCGGAAGGTCGGGGGTTCGATTCCCCTGAACAGCTACCCTGAGGTACCCCTGAGCAAGGTACCGTCCCTACACACTGCTCCCCGGGCGCCCAGTGGCTGCCCACTGCTTCACTGAGTGAATGGGTTAAATGCAGAGAGGGATTTTCCCCACGGGGACCAATAAAAGTACTCTTTTTTCTTAATGTTTATGAAATGTGCACATACTGTCTTGTGGTTTGTTTGCTTCCAGCTTGGATTCAGACACCTTCTCAGTTGTTGGTAATTAGGTTAATTAGCAGTTAGTTGTAGTTAGGGTTGGATCAGGTGCCCCTCAATCCTCACTTATTTACACTGCATTAGGCCTGTGCTGTTGGGGGGTTCCCATGATGCATTGCGCATTTCTTCTTCACTCACTTTGTGTTTACACACTGCGGCTCTCTTCCACAGGAAGTCTTTCTCCTGTCTTCCTCCCCTCATCCCTGACCAGTACGGCACATGTCTGCACCCCCCCCACCCAGCCTGGTTCTGCTGGAGGTTTTATCCTGTTAAAGGGGCGTTTTTTTCTTCCCACTGTTGCCTAAGCAACAACTTGCTCATAGGGGGTCATTTTCTCTGTATTATTGGAGGGTCTTTACCTTATAACAATATTTATAAATGTTGAAATTGAATGTTTAGACAGTCTGAGCTTTAACCTCCTGAGACCCGAACTCTTCCACGGCATACATTTTTAATTTCTCTTTGATATTTGGGCTGATTGGGACCTGATCAATGTAAAAACAAAGAATTACCAGATTTTTTTTTTTACCTGATTTTTGTTTCTAAGAAAAATAAGATCCACATATGAGGATATTCGTTTAAAATTTCGGTATAACAGTAGCAGTATGATGTCTTCATAAGTGGATATCAGGCCCTTGTAGAGCAAAATTTAGTATTTTGGTCTAAATAACCCAAAATGTGATGTCCACATATGTGGACGCCAGGTCCGAGGAGGTTAATACCGGTTTCAGTGTGTAACCGTGTGCACAGTGCGTGTACGCTGTTCCTAGCTGATGTTTTAGAAAGCTGAGCTGGTATTGTGAATACAAAGGGAATCTTGTAAACAGATACCTGCATGCTGTTGATCTTATTGTCATATCCATGATCTCCAGCAAAGCCACAGTGCCTCCTGCCTTCAGGGACCTTCCTGTAATGACAGAGGTATCTTCTCTCATTCGTAACCAAGAGGACAGTGACGAACTTTGTTTCTACCATCAGTGTTGCTAAGGTTGGCAACAAAGTAGCCAAACTGTGTGACAGATATATAAAAATGCTTATTGTTTTTCTAATAATGTCACCTTCTGCTGACATTGATAAATGGACTGATTCTTCTATAGCGCTTCTCTACTCCCCCAGAGTACTCAAAGTGCTCTATACAACATGCCACATTCACTTTCTCTACACTTAGTGCTTTCTAACTACATGCAAACTCTGATGGATGCATCAGAAAGCAACTTGGGGTTAGTATCTTGCCCAAGGATACTTGGCATGCAGAGTGGAGAAGCCAGGGCTCGAACCACGAACCTTCTGATCAGTAGGTGACCTGCTCTTCCTCCTGAGCTACAGCGACCACAAAATAACTAAGACACATCTCTTTATTTCCCTCAAACCCACTGCTGGAGCAAAATTTAATCATGCAAACCAAATTTTTTTAAACATTGTTTAACATATAATCATTTGCTAAACTACATGTGGCTGGTGTAACTGTTGTATCGTAAGTGTCAAAATAGGTTGTTATATGATTTACTGGTTAACAAGCTCAGGCCTGAGAAAAGCAGCTAACATAAATATGCCAAAAACTAATAGTGCCCATATAATCCCTCTAACATCGCTCTACTCACAACGAACATTTGTGCATGTGTTTGGCTGTGTTGTTGTTTATAGCTAATTTCTCCCTTTAAAACAAATGTTTGATTTTTCTTTATAACTCAATAACTTTAGTATGATATGAAATTAGAGGTGTGGACTCTTGTACAGACAGACTTGCTGAAACAGGCTGTCTTTCACACCACAGCTCTGAGTTCAGTTATTTCTTGTGGCTTTTTTATGTGCCGAATCCAAAGATGAGGATTAAAAATAGCCGACTGTTTTGCTGGCCGCGACTGTTTCCAGGTTATTCAGTTTCTTACAATTTACACCTACATACACTGTTTAGGTAGTTGATTTTAAATTCTAAGCTTCTTGTCTCACTTTGACCTTTCTTCAATGTGTAGCAACTTAGAAAAAGTCTAAACATAGAAGACAGAGAGTTCCTAATCTTCTATATTATTACTGGGCTTCACAAATAACCTCAGGGTGGTTATCTTCCTTTTTACACCAAGGCAAACCACCCATAGATATCTGGTGCTGTGACCCTCTTTTGCCTCTTAGTCTTTTATCTATTGATCTGGATGACCTTCCTCTTGGTGTCAGAAATAATTTTATTTTGATGTCTACACTTAAGGTTTGGCACAATATTGCTGCCCACGTTGGAAGAAGAGGTTTTTCTAGTGCACTACAGCCTCTGATTAGGAATAAAGCGGAAACATTTCTTCGGGTTTCTGCAAGTAAGACGTTTTGTAAAGTCCCTTAAATTTCCAGCCAGTCAACCTGTTTTGAATCCTGTTGAAAGCTTTCTTCTTAAATTTAATGAGGAAATAATCACAAAAAAGAAATGTACCTCTTTTTGTTATAGGGAAATTATTGTCTCCGAATTTTGTAACCACCGATAAGGCCAGGGTTTGATGGGAAACCGACATTGAAATTGAGCTTAGTACAGAAGCATGGTCTAAAATTTTAGATCTGCCAAGAAAATGTTTTCCTGTAACCAACTGCAGGAACGCCATTACAGAATCGTACATAGACTGCAGCGTACCCCAGAGCTTTTAAATAAAATTCATCATTTGTATTGGGCTGTGCTGATTTGTTGCTGTTTGTATTGTTTCCAAAAACTCAATAAATCATTGTTTAAAAAACAAAGACAGAGAGAAGCCTGATTATGAAACACTAAATAATGATATGTAGATCTGCAGGACTCCTCACTCGCCTGTCTATGTGTGTGTCCACTACTGACTTTTCTCAACGAGAAGTTTGGGCTTGGGTGAGCCTGAGTGCTGAAGATATCGACCTATTCGGAACCATGGTAACAGGGTTCTGGCTGATCGGAGCTGGCTTGGCCCTGACTTATCGGAGAATGAAGAAAGCGGAACCGGCTGTTCAAACCCCCACAAGGCTGCCCGCTGGGATTGGAACGATGGGACGAGGCTTGAGTTTCTCAAAATGGGCTGATTGAGTCAGCACGGATAAGATCTTGGAGAGGCTACGGCTGCTGTGAACACTCAGAATAAGATCTCTGACTGCAGACTGGATACATCTCGGAAGGGCCAGCCCGGAATAACATCTCTGGGCGCAAATCGGATGACATCTTGGGGAGGCACACTGCTGTGAGTTCTCAGAAATTGGCTCCTTGAGCACAAGAAATGACAACATCACAGAACGCAAGTATGGCGAAGCTCGCGGTTCTCCAACGGGAGATTGAGAGACCAGTGTTGGACTGTAGAACTGCTTTGAAATTCATATGAGCTGTTCGCACTAAAGTAAAAATACCATCATTTATGCGGATGCCCCTTTGGCGCCAGCCGCAAGGCCGGAGCTGAACAAAACACCCTGATAACGACTGAGTTGAGTCTGTTCCTTCCTATTCCATGCAAGGCCACTTGGGTTGGCTGGAAGACTGTTTACTTAGCCTGGCAGGGCGAAGGACACCGTCTCAGCTGAACTCTCCCTACGCCGGATCCAACGCCACCTCCAACGCTTACCTCCCCTCTGATTTGGACTATCGGGTCAGTTGGAGGCGCAGTCGAAGATTGCAGCGGTCCCAGATCAGGTGTACACACTGGAACTCTTTCCCATGTTGCTGTCTGTGTTTATTGTGCTATGGTGTGTTGATATCTGTGCATTCCTGTATTATCCTTCTGTGTTACACATTTCGATGTTTTTTCCTCGCTACCTGGCCTGACCTGTCTCCCCAATGTGATGTTTGTGTATTGTATGTACGGTCGGCAAGGTCTGTCATCTTGGTTGTGGGCAAAAGACCTGCAACTGACAAATAAAGGCTATCTCATCATCTCTCTCATCTACCTAATACAATTTCAATTCACACGGACCAATTTCATCCAAAGGTGTGAATGTTTGATTATATCTAAAAATTCAAGGCTCAAAATGGATTTTAGTAACTTCTGGTTTTAGTTAAGCACTTTTGGTTTAATCCTGACCTAAAACCATATCACGAAAACTAGAGCAAACCAACAATTATATACATCAGCTTCAGTGAGCACATTTTGGCTGTAGACCGGTGATGATCGTATTCAGTGGAGTTTGCACTGTTGGTTACTTTATGATAAACACCAGGTGTTGCCATGTTGTGCAGACCATCCAGAAAGTGTCTGTCCCCATTTTTGTAAGTGTAATTCTAGCATTTCTTTCATCTGTTACTTAGAACTGATTAGTACGTATTTCTGTTTGTATGTAGCCTTAGTCTTAGTCTAGCAGTCCACCCTCTGGTTATAGCTCCAACAACAACATGGTGGTGGTGAGGTAACGTTTTTAAATGCTGCTGCAGGAACCAGGCTATTCAGTCTGTTCAGTGTAAAACCTCTCATGGATGCAGTTCATTTGTTATTGAGCAACTTAGCTTAACATGTAGCAAATGAATCCTGTGTTTCTGGTTCTGTAGTCTTCATACATCTACAACATCATGACAGTGTCCTCAGTCCTGAAGCTGCCCTTCAGTGTGTTGTCCCTATCCACCTACTTTAGTCCTTCAATCAACACAAGCCAAAGTCCTCTAATTGAAAAAAAGAAACCACTTTTTATTAGGTGTCCATTAAAACAAAAACATGGCTGTGCCATGGGCTCCCCCGTGTCACCTATTGTAGC